GTCAAATAAAGACTCTTTCGGGGGGGGGGGGGGGAGAAGGAGGGACACGCGACAAATGTAAAACAAACTGGTGACATTCAGTCAAAAAGGCAGGTAATGCTCCGGAGGTGGGTGATTGTACAGGTCAGCTGGGCGCTCCAAAGCCCTGGCACTTCTTTGCTTTCTCCTTTCAACCTGGCCCTGTGACGGAAGAGTGCAGCAGGAGGGGGATTTTTCGCTATTGGGAAGTGGCAGGTAGGAAAGGGAACTTGATCCGCCCCAAAAGGCAGCAATTAAAGTCTTAACGGCGACCCATCTGTCATGGGACAGGCACCCTCCTCCTCCTAGCTAAGCCGGTCTTGCGCCCTTTGTCTGAGCAGGGGAAAGGAGACAGGTTCTGCGAAAGAAAAAGGAACAGCAAAAGGACAGAAATTATGCAGCTTGGCCGAACACAGAGTGGCCGCACCCAGCGAAGAATTGCTCCGTAGCGCCCAACAGTGCTGCAGCGCCTCTTCCGCGGATGGCGCGGGCGCTCTCGGTTTGCCTCTTTCTGCACTTCTTCACCCGTGCTTCTGTCCTCCCAGCCCCAAGCTACCCCGAGACCTGAAACGGGGCACTCCTAGACCTAGGTGCTCTGGCCGGTGGCGTCCAGTACATCTCCCCCCCTTGGCTCCTTGGCCACCCTCAACTTCCGACAGGACTCACCCCCTCCCCGTTTCTTGCGTGAGTTTCTCCACCGCCCACCCGGCTGCTTTGCCTCGCTGGAAGGCATCAGGCGCATTCTCCGTTCCCACCCCTCTCAGTTTGCCGGGCACCGGTGGGACAGTCTCTCACGGAAAGCCAGAGTGGGGCTGGGGGGCCTGGATGGTCCCCGGTCTTGGAATTCCCTGGCAAGGAGGTCGGGAAGAGGGAACACTTTGAGGTTAGTGTCCTCTGTTTGAAGTCCGATTTTGCGTCTTTGGGTAAAATTGATAGGGGCTCAACAATTCCAGGCTTTCTAATCCTCCTTCACCCAGCAGGACATTCACACCACGCTTGATCTGATACCTGGCACCCACCACCACCGGTTCCACACTCATCCATTCGGCGTTAACTCACCAGGCAGATGGCCCCTTGGGCTACTGCGGGCGGCCACTCACCCTCGCATCCAGGCCGCACTGCCCTGGGCCCCGAACTCTGCGTGCTCCTTTGACCTCTCAGACGCCTCCTCTCCAACTCCATGCAGCCCCTCCTGCGCGCCTATCCCTGGGGCTCAGGGCCAAGCGATCAGCAGCTCGCATCCAGCCGCACCGAGGAAGTGGCGCGCCGCTGCTGCCTGCGCGCTCGGGCCCGCGCACGCCTGAGCGGCGGGACCCCGCACAACCGGAGACGCAGCCACTGTGCCTTTATGGAACTCTCCGGACTACCGCTCCTCTCCGGAGTTTGGGCCAGGGGCCACATTTGGAGGGCGCCCAGCTCGGGGTGGGGGATGAGGAGGCACTGCAGGAGCACGGTCTTGGTGTGCTCTTTGGGGGGGCGCGGTTAGCCACGACTTCAGCACCCGTAGATCTCTCTGCTCGCCGCTCCGCTGTGCATAGACACCCTGACTGTGGCCTTCGCTGTTTCGGGGAGGCAAGCGGACACTGGGAGCTGGAGTGGGGATCGATAGGTTCTGTTTCTTTCTCCGCTCGACATTCGGTATTTAAAATGCTCTGAGAGATCTCTAGCAGAGCGCAAGTACTTAAGAAAGAAATGCTCTTGCCGGGCTCTCAATGGAAACTCAGAAACGCGCGCGCGCCTTTTTGTGTGTATCCAGGGTGGGGTCCGATCCGAACCAAGGCTTCTTGTAGTGTAACACCCATTTATTCCTTGCAACTCCTCAACTTTGTAGATGCGGGTGCGTTTTTCTCAGGCCTGTTGCCACGGGCATCGCCTTCACAAAACCACAAACACATAACAAGTCTCCTAAGGCCTTTAATTCTCAGGGGCGTTTTGGGAGGCCAGTTACCTGCTGGCGTCTTCCTAATGGTCCAGACTTGGTTCCGGCCGCGGAGACTTTGGGGTGCCGGGAGCGCACAGCCTGGGTTCTGGAGGAAGAAAGAGGGCTGAGGAGGCGGCCGGCCGTATGGACAAGACCCGGGCCCAGCTCAGGACCCAGGTTGCCCTGGCCCAATGGTACCAAACAGGCAAAATTTCCCTGCTTGAGGCTCCCTAGCCAAGGCTTTCTGGAGCCTGGCGTTTGATAAATATAGCCTGGCGTTTGCCCCTGAATTAGACTCCGTTTCCTTATTTAGTCCTTGCACAATGATTTTAGATGATGTCACTTAGAGCTAAACGAGAAAATTGATCTCAGATTTGCTTGGCCTCTAAAGCCTGGTTAAGCAGATTGAGAATTAAAAAGACAGAGGAAGCAAAAGGGGCGGGGGGCTGGAGGGTAGAGAAGAGTGCGCCGGAGAGTGTGCGTGGAGGGGGAGGGCGCACTGCGCTGCCTGGAGCGCCCCCGCCTCTTCTGGGCGGGGGAACCTCACTCACCAATAAAAAGTAGTCACTGACTGCAAAGGAAAAAAAAAGTTTTCCTGTTGACTGTTGGAAGCGAATTGAGCAATTATCTAGTTTACCTTCTCCTCTTGGAAGTTAACGATTGGCGAGATCTTGGCTGCGTTATTGACACAACACTTTCTATTGATAGAAATAAGTAGTGATTGTCCCCAAGTCATTGGTGCGCCAAGAACTCTGCGATGGGCTGGCAGGAGTCCATTGGGCTGGGCAGGCAGGTGGGGCTGGTGATGCTGGGGAGGAGGAGGAGGAGGCTGCTGGTGGTGATGGTGCCCGTCCCCCTCTCCGCAGGTCTGTGACAAGCAGGGAACGAGGCAACGACGGCGCAGCCCAGCCCCGGCGATCGGACGCTGGCGACTCAGACATGGACGCCCCCTGCCACAACGCGAGCACCAAAATGTTAGCGACTGCTCCAGCCCGGAGCAACGTGATGAGCACATCCAAACCCTTGGCTTTCTCCATCGAACGAATCATGGCGCGCACCCCCGAGCCCAAGGCCCTGCCCGTTCCCCACTTCCTGCAGGGAGCCGTGCCCAAGGGGGACCCCAAGCACTCTCTGCATCTCAACTCGTCGATCCCCTGCATGATCCCCTTCGTGCCTGTGGCGTACGACACCAGCCCCAAGACAGGAATGACGGGCTCAGAACCGCGGAAAACGAGTCTGGAGGCTCCAGCGGCGCCGGCCGCAGCGCCCGCGGCGACCGCGTTTAGCTGCAGCGACCTGCTCAACTGCGCGCTGAGTCTCAAGGGCGACCTGGCCCGCGAAGCGCTGCCGCTGCAGCAGTACAAACTGGTAAGGCCGCGTGTGGTCAACCACTCTTCTTTCCACGCCATGGGCGCCCTGTGCTACCTGAACCGAGGTGACGGGCCGTGCCACCCAGCGGCCGGCGTGAACATCCACCCGGTGGCCTCCTACTTCCTTAGTTCCCCTTTGCACCCGCAGCCAAAAACGTATTTAGCCGAAAGGAATAAACTGGTGGTCCCAGCGGTGGAGAAGTACCCTTCTGGAGTAGCTTTCAAAGACCTGTCGCAGGCTCAGCTGCAGCATTACATGAAAGAAAGCGCCCAGCTTCTGTCGGAAAAAATCACGTTCAAAGCCTCGGACTTCAGCCGAGGCTCTCCTAATGCCAAGCCCAAAGTTTTCACTTGCGAAGTGTGTGGGAAGGTAAGCATTATGTAGCAGGGAGACCCTACCTTCCTCTTTTCTTTCCTTCCTCCCTTACCTCCTTCCTTCCTTCTTTTCTTCCTTTTTTTTTTTTAATTGTTTTGGGATAATCGTTTGCATACACTTGTTATAAGGTTAGCTTCTCCCGCCCTCTGCCTGGTTTGATTTCAAAGTGTTTGTGTGAATAACCTGTTTTACTTGTGTTTAATTTTAAGGTCTTTAACGCACACTATAACTTAACCCGCCACATGCCGGTGCACACCGGAGCCAGACCCTTCGTTTGCAAAGTGTGTGGAAAAGGCTTCCGGCAAGCCAGCACTCTGTGTAGGCACAAGATCATTCACACGCAGGTGTGTCCATCTGTCTCAATTTCACCTGGTTGAGTTTGGAACTGTTTGCCAAGAAATGACTGATAAAGCCTTACTCTTTAGCAGAAGGTTTGTTTAAAATTTGCTAGCTGGATAGGGGGAAATGATGAAATTGTTTGCTTTTGTTGGACATAAAAGTGTTTTTGAGCTTGCAGTATTCCACGGAATAACGAAATCCCTTACATTCTGTTTTTCCTTTCTCTCACTTAGGAAAAACCTCACAAGTGCAACCAGTGTGGCAAAGCGTTTAACAGAAGTTCCACTTTAAACACGCACACTCGGATACACGCAGGCTATAAACCCTTTGTGTGTGAATTCTGTGGCAAAGGATTTCATCAGAAAGGTACAGAATATAGGGATGTGAATCTTACCAAAAGTTAGTCATTTTTTCTAGGATGTTTTTTAAAAATATTCCAAAACTGCAGTCAGTGGTGTGGTGCACATCTCATTACTGTTAAAGAAAGGCATTGTTCATATACCAACGGGATATCTCTGTTTAACAGCAAGTTCTTATTTTCTATAGTTTGGTTAATAAATGTGTACTGAAATATAGGTATTTAAAAATAACCCTGGATAGGCATGCACCGATAGCAGCCCTGCACGGAGGTGGATGCTGTGGCTCTTCCACTTGCTTCCTTACCTCCACTGTGCCTGCTCCTCCCTTCTCCAGCTCTTTTCAGAATCCATCCCTGTCATTTGTCTGTTTCAGGGAATTACAAAAACCACAAGTTGACCCACAGCGGGGAGAAGCAGTTCAAGTGCAATATCTGCAACAAGGCTTTCCACCAGGTTTACAACCTCACCTTCCACATGCACACCCACAATGACAAGAAGCCTTTCACCTGCCCTACGTGTGGCAAGGGCTTCTGCAGGAACTTTGACCTCAAGAAGCACGTTCGTAAGCTGCACGACAGCAGCCTGGGGCTGACCCGCACGACCACCGGGGAGCCGGGCGCTGACCCTCCGCCCCCGCTACAGCAGCCGCCCTCCGCAACACTGCCACCTCTGCAGCCACCTCTGCCGCCCCCTGGGTCCCTACAGCCTGGCCTCCACCAGGGCCACCAGTGATGAGGCCAATGATCCCCCTAGTCCCAGCCAGGGCCTTACTGCTAAGCGTCAGCAGACTACAGCTGTACCTCCTGGTCCAAGATCTGCAGAACCCAGGGCATGTTGGGCCCCTCAATGTAGGGCCGACCAAAAGCCTCTGCACTCCCCGGCCTCTTGCCTCTTGCATGCACCTGTTAAATGGGTTTGTGTATTATATTCTATGTAGGCACTAACAATTATGAGAAATTTGGAGGGTTTGTTTTCTGATTTTTTAATTTTATTTTGAAAAGACTTTCATCTCGGGTGGAGAGATGGTGTTTGCTTTTTTTTTTTTAAACAAATTTCTGCTGTATTTATTGAGATCTGTATTATTCTACCCGGGGAATGCTGCACCATTTTAATGTTATTATTGTATATATTTCCATTGTGTTGATTCTACGATCTCAAGATGCCTGCTGATCATTATCACGAAGTAACAAAATACTGTGTATATGTTATATACACGCACAGAGATGTGTGCGCATGTAAAGGCACATTCCACATTCGTGAGCACACACGTACACATACACACACATACACACTAGCTAAGGGTGGTTCATCATGGATGGCTTTGAATTTTGGTTTTGATTCTTGCACGTGAAAATTGATTTATTGACTGTCGGAAATAAATCCTTGGAACATGCTTATTTAATCAATACACTTTAGGGTTTGCTTTGTTTTATTCAGTTTCAGATCTCTGATTCTGACCTATCATCCTTTCTTTGTTTTCTTTCTTTTTAAAGAGTTGAACCCTGGATTAGGAATTTCCGATGTTTTGCTCTGAAAGTTCACCCAGTGTAATTAGTCTCTTGAACTAGTTATGGTTTGGGGCAAAATTATGAAATTTGGTAATTCTCAGAGATAGACATCGAGTTTTCTAACAGAAGCGTGTCTTAGACTTGGGCCATCCGATGTGTTTGTAGTAAGCAGGTTGGTGGGAATACCGCACCTAGGAGTTGTGTGTGTCACACACCTCCACGAACACATTACAATATTGTCATGTGGCTAGGTATCCATTGTTTGCACCCTGAAGTCACATACTGACTTGTATTCAGCTGGCAGAGGAAGCCTTGGTGTTTTTACATGTGTATATATGTTTATAGACGAATATACTTCCATTCAAGGAGGAAACATGGCCGAACACCAAACTGTGGCTGGTGCCAGGTCCTTGAAATGCTTCAAGTGTTAATCAGCAGCTCTGCTGTGAGCTTGGGCTCTGGTGTTTTCTCACTACAAGTCTCTCCTGTTTTCTTGCCAAAACAGTGAAACAACTGCTAAAGACTTTAATTAAGAGGGGTAATTAGTTCAGCTTTATCAAAGCCGGGTTGTTATACTATTAACTGCTCAGTAGAAGCTGCCAGACAAACTCACAGCCAACCCAGCCGTCCCACTGCAGGGGGGGCCACATCCTGGGAATGGGGCTGGGGCGGGGGGCGGGGGGCTTAGGGGTCCCAGCCTTGCCGCCGGGGTCCCAGCCATGTTGCCCGACCTGGGGGCTGCCCAAGCAGCCGGGTGGGTAAATTTCCGCCCCTCCCTCGGCCCACGCGCTCCGGTCCAGGCTGTCAGGTGCAGAGCATCCCCTGCGATTCCACACCGTGGACCCCCGTTTCCAGGAGGCCCAAGGATTTCTTTCCTGTGCCGGGAGCAGGATGGCCTCACCAGCTCCCTGGCAGCCCCGACGGTTGCTGAAGAGGCGCGGGGAACACGTTTAAATCCGCCACGCTTTCGTCGGTGCTGCGGCGCGCAGGAAACGGCGCTGCGCCGGGAAGGGCAGGACCTGGGCCAGGGAGGAGCAGTGGGCACCGCGCGGCCGCCGCGGCGATTTCCTTGGCAACCCGCATTCACGTTTGATGGCGGGAAAGGACTGAAGACTCTGGACGCCAGTGTGGGTTACCGCAGGGGCTCC